TAATAAATATTATTAATAATTTTCAAACCAATTTAACTCTTTTTGAGCTATTTATAGCCATGAGAAATTTTTCTGATTTTTTAGTTACACATTTTTAAGTTTTTCTTTTCATAGCTATAACATAGAAATTTCTATAGAAGCTTTTCAACAAGTTATTCTACCTTCATCAAAATAAAAAATTCACAGGAAAGTTATTTTTAATTTTTAATTATATTTATTTCAATGAGATATTTTCGATTTTTATTAATTATTTATATTTGAGTCTCTACTCAAATTTATTTTTCATATTCAATAATTTAATGTCGAATTCAAGTATAACACATCTATTATAATGATATACTCCACAATTACTGTATAGCATAATAGAAGTATAATATACAGATAATACTAGGTAGTAATTTAATTTTTATTGTGTTTTAGTATTTTAAAAGCAATCCAATCGCAGACTTTAAATACATGTTGGAATCACTAAACAGGAGATACAAAACTCACAAAATAGATAAGAAATTAATGGTTTTGCCATCAACACGGCCTACATGGTACATTGGCTCCAAGTGTCAAAAGTGTTTTGAATCTGATCTCTTTGCAACTATTCAGGTCTGCAAAATGTTGAACATTATAAAATAATTGATACTATTTATTTTTTTTACTATTTATTATTAATTATTATTATGTTTAAGATCTTTTATTACTATTAACTGTTGAAACTTTTTAATTGTTTTTTTATTATTTTATAATTTTATCAACTGTGTATTTTATTTTTTTACAATCTTTTGGTGTTTTACCATTAAAAATCACTTTTCTTTATGCCAGCTCATTTATATGATTTTAATGGAATTTTATATACCTACTGTGATTTATTTTTACAATTACATTCAATGATGATCTAAAAAATACCTAAAGATATAGTTCAAATAATTATATGTACCTTATTATGTAAATATAATTGTAAATTTTTTTAAATTCGTGATTTTCCTTTAAAAATCTTAATTTATTTAATTTTTTTATTAATTAATGAGTGTTGTACGATTTACCATAAATTTTGTATAACAATATATTTACAAGTTACAGCCAAAAAATATCCCGTATTTCAAAAAGCAGTTACAAATAAACAAAGATAAAGAAAAAAATATTTTATTTTTGAATTACAAATAGTATGCCATTTTTAATATGGGTACATCTGAAGATTTCTGTGCAAGATTCTTCTAACACTCCTATCAAAAAGTCCCAGGATAGCTGCATGTTTAATTACTAAGATTTCTTATAAGTTTGTCTACCTTTATCAAAAAATAAATTAAATAAATGTCCACCGGAAATTCAAATATTTTAAAAAGTCATAATAATCTATAATATATCAAAATGTCTCCGCTCAGAATTGTTTTTCGTATACAATGATATATCATTGAATTCAAATTTAATTCCATCCATTACAGTAACGTCAGTAACCCACTTGTAACCTACTGTACAGCCGAGCGATATCCACTAATCCACTTTCCTGTTTTTTTTATTTATTTCTAAGCTCTTATTAAAAGAAAAAAAAACAAATATCCGATCAATTACTTGTACTGTCCACTCTAATATACCAACAATTGTAATTGAAATGCATAAAGTTACAAACAAAATAATAATTAATAATTTTAACAAAAACAGACATCGACATAATATAAATTATAACTGGCTTTAGATGTATGGATGTTTATATAATAATATTTATGATAATAACATTATCGACCATCAACAAGGTCCAATCTAACGATTTTATGTGTTACACTGACGACTGATATGTAATACCATTGATTATAAATACTAGTATTTATAAWCAATGGTAATACGTTAAACGTTGACAGCACTTTTTATTTTTTTAAGTTGTCTACATCATAAGCCAGGGCTCGTAAGTTCATGCCCTAAAAAATTCCTAAATAAGCATGCATTTATGCACTTAAAATTGGCAAAATATGCTTTGAAATATGCCTTAAAAAGTTAAAAAAATATGCATTTATATKCACTAAATATCTCAAATTATGCACTTAAAAATGCTTACTTAAAATTTTTTTATTTATATTTAATAAATAATAATATTAAAAAAATGTTAATAATATTTACCCATTTAATGTTAGCTATATAATTTATTGATTTATTTTGCTTCAACATATTGTGGTTATTTATTTATAGACTATAGTGTTTTATAACAAATGTCAAATACTATGGGGAATTGGGGAATCAAATTATCTGAAGGAATATACTTTTCATTCTCTTTCTGTTAAATCCACTGTGGTCCTTAAACTTTGAAGAACAAACCTAAAAAAAATTAAATTATATCTATTCTGTGATTCTGTGAACAAACCAATAACCATTGAGTTTTGCTCTGTGGAACTGGTGGAACGTGGAACCAAYCATAGACATGAAAGTTTATATGTCTATACTCTATGGAACCAACTTGATATGGTAATTAATAATTATGTCACTTGATAACCGTTATCATAATCAAAACAAACGATTATTGATAATCATAATCATTTAACATTCTCAATAAGCGATCATCGCTTGTCAGCTCTAGTTGCTGACCACTGCTGGCTCGAACTGTGGAGACATTATTGAATTTTTCTATGCTTAAACTTAACGCCAGTTAAGGATACCTATTCGTTCAATCCGTATTAATATGTCAACTACGTCTAAAATAGTATTTGGATTATCTTGTTTCACATCGGTGGGTATCATTGGGTTTGTTCACTACCAACAACAAGACGATTTGAATAAGTTGCACGAAGGTGTTGTAAAAGAYATTGAACGACAAGAAAATAAACGCCGGGAGTTAGAAATTAACTCCGATATTTTAGTGGCCAACAATCTCCAGAATGGGGAAAAAATCGCATAAAAAGGAACACAAAAAATCGACTCACAAAAAAAAAAAACATGTGAGTAATTGTTATAACTATTAGAATTGATTCATAAAATATCTTTTAATCATATTAACATATATTATACTATTTAGAGATCTTCGTCATCCAGTAGTTCATCATCAAACGATGATCAATGGGTTGAAAAACAGCAAAAAGATTCATCTACTTCCACGTCATGTATTGCACCAAGAGAGGAACCTGATAATTGGATGGATTTTGTGTGTAGCACATCTTCAGAAATTGAAAAGAAAATCAGCACAAAGAGCAAAGAACTAGAAGAAGCTAAAGCTAGAATGATTAAGGTATATTARCCACCAATATTACCTATATTTATTTTATTGATATTTTTTGTTCTTGTTTTAGCCAGGTCAATCAGAACGAGAACTAAATCCATATTGGAAAAATGGAGGAACTGGTCTTCCACCACCAAAGCCATTAAGTGGCCATAAAGGTTTCCTCAAGCCTAAAGTAGATGATGATGATCATCATCTTCATCACCATAAAAGCTACCAGAATACTAATTATTCAAAAACTTCTCATGGTCGTCAATCTTGGAAAAAACACGATCGCAGAGATAATGTTAATGATGGTAAATATACTACTTTAAAACAAGATAATGAAGAAAGATATAAACGGCATAGAGAATTTGATGAAAAAATAGAAGAAAGAGGTAAGCAACATAGAGAATTAAATGAGAGAAAAGAAGAAAGAGATAAACGCCATAGAGATTATGATGATAGGAAAAGGCAACATAAAGAATATAGTAATGAAAGCAAAGGAGAAAGAAATAAACGCTACAGAGAACATGAAGATGATAGAAAAAGTACCAATGATAAATATTCTAAAGAATATGACCATAAAAAAGATAGAAAAAATAAACATGACAAAGACTCTGACAACGAAGAAAAATACACATCAGATGAAGAAAAGACACTGACAAAAAAATATTCAGACAATAATGACAAAACTAAAGAAAGTGATGAAACCCCTTTAACTGAATCTGAATTAAATTTACTAGCTGCAAAACAAATTAAAGCAGAAATTATGGGAAATAAAGTAAGTAAAGTCTTTTTAGAAATTGAAAGCAATTTTTTTTTTTTAGATATTTTAATGAATATAAATACTGAATAAATTATAGGCTAACAATAATGGTAATGGTCCAATATGCGACCTACACACTGATTTAAGGTCCAATCATAAGCGTGCGCCRGTATTCTTGGCAGRRGAGGCAATACATTAGCTAAGGAGGTCCAGACTCCAATCCCCCCACCCAATTTTCCCCAATTGGTAGGTATAATTTTATATTTTGGTGAAGAGGAAAATCTTGGAAGGGAGGCAGCCGCCTCCCATGTGCGCACGCTTATGGGTCCAATACATGACCTATGTCATAAATGCAAAATACAAATAATTTTAACCAACCTTAAATTAACCCAGAACCAAACTATTTTCATTATTTCACATAATGATAGCTGATTATTACAACCGCCGTTAAGATCCGTTTAGGTAAAAAACTCATTATCTTTTCAAATTGATTGTTAAGTCTGGCAACCCCATTTTGTACATCATAATGTTACAACTTTTTTTCAGTTTTATCAGAATTTTGTTTTTTAGGATTTCTTAGATATTCCACAGGTAGGCCATTGCATACAACACTATCTTTTACCTTTATACATGTCATCGGATTATCAGCCTTTCAAATATTGAACACATGTAACTTCATTTCTAAAAATGTGCTTTTATAGGTGATCAATAGTAGATGTCAWSWTGAGTCAAAACATAAAAATTCACATGCATTAAATARAATTCACAAAACTAACGCACTTGAATGAAATCGGAATTATTTTGACTGAGCACAGTAAATACAAGTATTAATGATTGTTAGTATTGGAGAATGWGAATAAAATGCCCATAATGACAATAACCGCGATAAAGAAATCTATTGATCAACACAATTTTATTGGTAGGTCGAGTAACATTTGTAGATTGCATATTGGATCATTACCATGATAATTATTAATTATGGATTTGTTTTCAGCGTACACACACATTTAAGATATGTTATATTTCCCTCAATAGCATTATACATTTTAAATATTTAATTTTTATTTTTATTCATAGAAACTGGCCGAAGAACTTAAGCAAAAATTAGAATTAGCACGAGAACATACTTCAAAACAGAATTATACCACAAACAAAACAAAACAAAAAGACGATTTTGTATTACTTACTAGGACCTCATCTAAAGGTTATAGTTATCCTGTTAAACAAGCACAAATTGATAAAAATGATGGTAAGAAGAAAAAACGAGAAAAAGTATTGACACATGAAGATGGTAAAAGAGTAAGATACTTTGATGATGATGATAAATATTCATTAAAATCTATGGTGAGTCTTTAATAAAATAGAAAACTGTAGAAATAAAAAACTTGAAAATTATACAATTTGTTTGTACTTACAACTTTTATTATATACTATTTTTAGTTTGAAAAAGAAATGACTAGTACTGCAGAGGATAGTAATATGGAGTTTGTAAATCTATCGAGGAAGGTTAATATTTTATTATTTATATACCTAGTAATTAAAATAAACTGATTGAAAATTTAACGAAACCTTTGGTGATTTCATATTTAATTATAATTTTTAGGTTAATGCTAGGGATGATGAAGATGATGTATTTGTAGATCGTGCATCAGAAAAACGGTCTGCTAAGGCATCCGAGAGGGAAATTAAGAGAGCTATTGGGGAGCACAAACGTACAGAAAAAATTTTAAACTCTTGTCGTTACTGCTTTGATAGTGAAGAAATGTTAAAACAYTTATTTATCGCTAAAGGAGAAAAGGTATATTTGCAACGATTATTTTGAACTTTGATTTTTAATTTGTGTATTAATATTTTATAGTGTTATCTGTGCTTGCCATCTTACAAATCTTTGACAGAAGGGCACTGTTTAATTGTACCTATATATCATTATGCGTGTGCAACTGATATTGACGAAGATGTTTGGACTGAAATGCAGGTAAAAAATTATTTACCATTCTAGTCACTAGTTACTGAAGTGTAAAATTATTTAATAATAAAAAAAATGATATATTATATTAGGTATTTCGAAAAGTATTGACTACCATGTTTAAAGATCAAGATGAAGATGTTATATTTTTTGAAAGTGCAATGCGACTAAACAATATGCCTCATATGACATGGAACTGTGTGCCTGTTCCAATTGAAATTGGCGACACTGCTCCTATTTATTTCAAAAAGGCCATCTTAGAATGTGAGACTGAATGGGCTATCAATGTAAAAGTTGTGGACTTGAGTAGTAAAGATGTACGTAGAGCTGTTCCCAAAAGTTTACCCTATTTCGCTGTTGATTTTGGAATGCAAGGAGGATATGCTCATGTCATTGAAGATGAAAAAATTTTTCCTAACAATTTTGCTGAGGTAAAATAATTAAATTGAGAAACAGAACATGTATCAAGAAAAAAATATCTGGAAATAGATGATACCTTTTTTTAAATAATAAATTAAAACTATCACTCTTTAAAATATGAGATATTTGATATTTAATATTAAAATCTAGTAGCTATAGACTTCTCAAAATTAATCAGCTATGATTGAGTGGTTAAGCTATAGCTACCAAGTAAAGGAAAAAACATTGAAATTCTAAACATTTACACACTTTTTGTAAAAAAAATTGAACTAATATAATTATTGAAAGCTGTGGCTGAAAGTGACAAGTATTAAATTTTTGATGTGACTTAAGCTAGAACTGTTCCTTAAACATAATCTCCAGATATTATTTTTCAGGACTATAATTTAGTATCAATTAAAATTATATTTTGAATGGATTTAGTTTATTTTATATTAATTTAAATTTAAATTTTACTTTATCATCATAGGAARTTATTGGAGGAATGTTGGATTTGGATCACAATGCATGGCGAAAAAGGCAAAAAGAACCAATTGAAGAGCAGTTGCAGAAAACTACAAAATTTTTAGAAATATGGAAAAATTATAATTTTACCAAGACCTAATGTTTGTATTATAAATTTGTGAGAATAAATTGGAAAGTAGTCAAAAAAATTAATACACATTATATTTTTTTTTTACCATATATGTACAAAGAGTATATGATATTATGAGTTATTTTTGTATTTATATATTAAAATACATAAATAATTGGAAAAAAAAATTTTCAAACATTGTTGGTTTTAAAAATTAMATTTTTCTTAACTTTATATTTAATTTCAAATATCTATTAAAAATTATTAGACAATAGTTTCTAACTCTTTGGCATAATGAATAGCATAATCAGCAATCTGTAATGCAGGCAAAGGTTCTACCGCTTTCTTCTCTTCTTCAAGGTGGAATACGTAATAACCGTCTTGACCCAAAATCCATTTTTTCTACAATAATAAATATGGATTAATTTTTCTTTTTATTATTGTAATCAATTATTCAGTACGACATCAATAAATTACCTTGTTAGCAAAGTCGTTTGTTTCATTAGTACTGTTGAAGTTTAACATTTTTGTAGCAGAATTTATAGATATTTTTTTGTATGCTTTTTGTAGGCATTCAGCAATTTCATTACGAAGTGTGTTTGACAATATGTTCATAAAAAAATTATACGTATCTGATGGTACATTACTTTTTGCTTGAAATATCTAAAACCAGTTATAAATATTTAAAACCAGTTAATCTATGATATCCAATACTTCCAGTATTTATTTAATGAATTTTAATTTAATTACCTTATTATAACTGCCTTCCATCAAATATTGTTCTAAAGCAACTGGATGCCTAATATATGTATTGGTTTGTATAATATCATATGGGAGAAGCTCCAATTCTGTATGAAATTCAGCTACTCGATTTTGAGACAGTAAGAACAGTAAGTTCAGACCTAACAAATGATATTGATTAGCAGACTCTGGTAATTTGTCCCTAGATAAAAATAGAATCATTTATAAAAATTTAATATTACTTATATTAATCTCCAAAATGTGGCTTACTTGTAGTCCAAATAATAACACTTGAGTTGAGCCATGTACCGTTCAAAAGATGGAATATCATGCATTGCAATACTGCATTGTACTCCCACTTCTAAGATGTCTCCTGTACATAAATATACAATATATCTGGCCATACTAGTTAATTATTAATTATAAATATGAATAATAGTGACAAAGACAATCGATTGACTAAACCAAACTTAAGGTAATTATAGGAAAAATTAACCAAGTCATAGGTTTTATATACTTGAAGGTTAAAACTACAAATTGCTGTTACGAGTCATAATTAAGTTCATTATTTGGTTGTCAGTGAAACTTGAAACGTATAAACAAATAATTTTTAAAATATTCCAATATAATGAAAATATAAAGCACTAAACTTATACTTTAAAGCCAATAGTTAAATCATGAAAAAGTAAGTTACATTCTTAATGTTAATATTTTTTTTTTAAATAATAATTACAGGATCAATGYGTATAATTTTAGTTGGCACCCTCATTATCACTCAAAATCTGAAAAATATAACATAAACTTACTAGCTATCAAGTATTCTTTTTGAGATGCTTCCACATTAGAAGTTGGTAAAAAGGTATGTTTAGTCATTCCAATCTGAAAATAAGAATTAAGTACCTAATTAATCTTACTCTTAAAAACAACTTTCATGTTATTATAAAATTTAATTTATATGGACTTAAAAATATATTCTCGTCAAATTTAATTTATTACATTATGTAAATTAGACATATACAAATAACTTATTGTATTTGATATATTGTACATAAAATATATGTTTCTTTTAATAAAATATACAGTAGAATCTGTTAATTATGTATTATATAACAATATTCCAAATAATACAATTTCCAACCTTGTATTTAGTTGATTTAAAATATCACGTGCAGTATATTTATGTCATCAGAATATAATTATGCTTGAATTTAACAATCTGATCCTCTATGTTCCTAAAAGATTCTTATAAGTGGTTACTACTGTACATTGGTTCATATATGTGCATACTGTATCTATATACTTGATCACACTATAGTTTTTTATGTTTAATAAGTTTTATATAATTTTTTTT